CGTATGTTGAAATGTTTGGGGTAGTTCCTTTTCGTCCTTGTTTTTTTTACAGGCATCGGTCAGAGAAGTCCGTTCCGAACTCCAGTTTCTTTGAAAAAGTCCAGATGTTCGGAATGAAAAGTCTGGAAGATCGGAATAAAAAAGACCAGATGTTCGGAATGAAAGTCGTCCAGGTGTTCGCAACGGAAAATACAGGTTGTTCGGAACATAAAATGACGGCTGTTCGGAATAAAAAATGACCGATGTGCGGAATGAAAACTACGGATGTTCGTAAGAAAATACTCCGGATGTTCGGAAGAGAAAAGAATTGGGTTTTTTTAATAACATAGTTTATTGTGGAGCTCACGTATATTTTCGAAGAAAATAGTGAATGTAAGTTTTAAGTTCGAGGTTTCGCGGCTCCCCCTCCCCCTCCCCTTACAGACAGGCTCTCATTACAGACCATAGCAACGTCGGCCTCCATTACAGACCTTAGCGACCAGGTTTAAAATAATGGATATACATATGCATATGTATATAATAGCTTCATTCGCCATATAATTCAATGCTTCTTATAATAGAAATGTAAAATTAAGGATAAAAGCAGTGTTAAAAATGAAAAATACTGAGCGAATAGCAACAAAGAAGACGAAAAATAAGGGCGCATGTCAGAAAATTAAAACATTCGTGATTTTATACTATCTATATTGCATATTAGTATAATGAAGCTGAAGATATACGTGAGTTCCGCATTTCAGCTCCAAAGGATCTGCGCTAACAAGCTTTTTTCTTTTATTTCCTGGTATAGTATTTCATAAAAAAAAACATAATAAGACAACAAAAATTTATATAAGTGAGAGAATAAGTAACTTTTATAAGAGAAAGAAATTTAATGTCTAATGTTTTTTTGCAGCATGTCTTGTTTTTTTATGGAATTTGTTTCACATTGTCATCATCTCTTTCATCTTCTTTTCGTTTTTTTTCGTTCCGAACATCGGTCGCTTTTTGTTCCGAACATCCGCCATTTTATGTTTCGAACATCCTGTATTTTTTCGTTCCGAACATCCGGAAAAGCGATTTTATGTTCTATATCTGATTTCGAACATCCGGTTATTTGACCGGATGTCCGGAAGAGCAAAGAAGAAAAAGGACAAACCCAAATGTTTAAACTTAGTAAATTCCATTGATCACAAGTGTGAGAAAAGTTATTGATGAGATAAAGTTCGAACTCAATGTGATACAAAATTCTTTATTTTTTCATTGTTTAATGAAAACAATCAATAGTCAGTGTGACGACCATTAGCGTTCTTTACTGCACGTAGTCTAGATGGATACGCACATAAGAGAGTTTTAAATAAATCAGTGTCGGTTTCCATGTTATTCAAAACATCTAAAATGTGCATTTTGAGTGTTTCTTCAAGATAACGAGAATGTCCAGGTTCTGATAACATCTTTTTTTCAACTTCATCCTTGATTATTGTTCCAATATGTTCTGCCACATTGAGATCGGGTGAATTTCCTGGCCAAATATCATTACCCCAAAATTTAACATCATTGCCTTGAAGCAAATGTTGGGTCTGATATGCTCGCGTACATGGTGCTTTGTCATGGATAAATATAACTTCATCGGGATCGATAACATTTTCTTCATTTTTTAAGAATGGAAACACGTGTTCAGTCAAAATTATTTCATGAAAATATTGACCAGTCCAAGATTCAGCTTTATCTTTAATCACCCAATGCAACCTTTTAGCGGTAAATATCACAAAATTTGAAATGCATGGCTGATTTTTAACCATTTCACGATAACGTTCGTCTTCTTCGATATCATCGACGCTTTTTGCCCAAATTCGATCGTTCTAATAATTTGGTCTACGAACGACCCACACGTAAAATTCATCAGATGGTGCCAGATGAAGAAAATCTTCTTCAGTCCAATCTTTTAACCAATCGCACAGCCATAATCGATCTGATATGTGAGTTTCAGATTTTGGCGGTTTTGGAATGACATGAAATGATTTTAATCCTTCTCTGTGACGGTAATTACTAATTGTTCTTCGAGTGACATATTCTTTTTGCTTTTCTGCAATCTCCTTCGCCACAACGGAACAACTTTTTTTTGTCGACCAGTGGCTTTAAGAATGATGTCTTGCCTTGCTTGTGATAATTTAAGCTTTCGACCAGCATTTGAATAATCAGCAAAACATTGGTCATATGGTTTTTCCCACCAGTCTGTGACAAATTGAACCGAACGATGAACTTTGTTGACAACACAATGGCGATTAATAAATGTTGCACCAGCATCTCTAGCTTCACGAAAAGCAATGCATTTGATTCTAGTCAATAATTCTCTGCTCTTCAGTGTCATAAGTACCAGCCATTTTAGAATGATTAGATTTAATTGATGCACCGAAAGGATAGACGTTATGAAAGATATGGATTAGAAGGGGTGGGTGCTGGTGTGGGTGTGGGTGTGAGGTGTACCTCTGAATAACAAAGCACACACTCCATATCCACATCTACACCCACACTACCCCCACCCCACCCACCCATACCCAACCCCACACCCACCCATACCCGCCAACACCCACACCCCAAGCAGACAAGAATTTGGAAAAACGCGTTTAAACCCTACAATCGAGAACCGCGATTGTGACGCATTCACGCTCAAAAACAAAACGCCGTTTTTCGCGTTTTTTGCGTTTAATTTTCACTTTTAGAGCGTGAAAACGGGGAAAAACTCCAGTTTTTAGTGTTAAAACGTGCCTTTATTTCTCAAATTTTCTCAAATTTAAAAACAATGCGTTTTAACGCTCATTTTTAAAATTTTTCACCGTTTTCACGCTCTGAAAGTGAAAATTAAACACAAAAAACGCAAAAAAATGCGAAAAACGGCGTTTTGTTTTTGAGCGTGAATGGGTCACAATCGCGGTTCCCGATTGTAGGGTTTAAACGCGTTTTTCCGAATTCTTGTCTGCTTGGGACCCACCCACCCGCACCCACACCTACATATAGACCTACACATACACCCACACCCATCCACACCCACCGCACCCACCCACACCCAATCCCACACCCTCCCATACCCGCCCACACCCACACCCACACCCACATATAGACCTACACATACACCCGCACCCACACCCCACACCCACACCCACACCCACACCCACACCCACACCCACCCACACCCACACTCACACCCACACCCACATCCACACCACACCCACACCCACACCCCACACCCACACCCACACCCTACAATAGATTAATATTGCATCATCTTTTCTCTCTATTGGTGATTGGTAGTGTCGAAGTTATACAGTCAGCTACTGAAGGTGAACTGAAACTTATAATAAATCCTTATACCTTTTTTGTGAACGAATTTTGAGTTCAGCGAAAGAGTTCGACACTACGTGTCTTCATTAGTTTTTCCTTGTTAGCTAAACAGTATATTCATTGTATTATGCTTTTTTATAGCGAAATATCTTTGAAAATAAAGTATGGATTAATGAACAGCGATTCAATAGAGCATCCTGTACCAACATGATACCATAATAACTACTAGGTTTTTCAAAAACTGACTTTTCTGATTAATTTCTGATTTTGCAAAAAAAATTCTGATGGTTTTTCTGATTTTGAAAAAAAGAATTCTGATTTTTGAGTTTTCGATCTGGCAACCCTGATAATCAGTAACATTAATATCTCATCAGTCAACTAATATTGTTTAGATTTGCTTGTAGTCGAATGTCATAGAGATGATTTAAATAAACGTTTCAATATGAAAATAATTTTTCAAGGAAATTCTTTTTTAATTTCCTAAGTACCAAAAACTAACTGTCTTAATATAATAAGAATATTAATTGATGAACCGATTAATGAACATTTTGCATGTGCTGGCATATCATCTTTACCTTCATCTGAATGATGATAAGAATTATCTTCCAGTACAAATTTATTAAATATTGGTTCTCTGCAAACATGTACATCATATACAACATTTTCATTAATCAATAATGATACATTTGTATGTTGAAAAATTCAATTTGTTTTATTTCAGGTATTTGTTGTAAAATTTCGTTTGTTACTAAGTAAAAACCCCGGTTTTTTTGATGATAATCTTAGAGGTTTTTGATAATTTACCATCTACAAGTTAAAGATAAACTGAGAGACTTTCACTTAGCAAAGAAAAAACCTTTCATATACATATCAAGATGATCATAGTAGTCAAATATGACTGATTTGGAAAAAAAAGGCAACAGCAAAACAGAAAAAAACAAAAATTTTATCATTGTTTGAGTGTCATTTATAAATCATTAAAACAGTTCGTAAAGTTCGTCGATCAGTAAAAACACGTACAATCGAATTGAAATCAGTAACTACAAGAACTGTCAATAAAATGAACAAAAAAATTACTACAAAGTTTACTTGAATAATCTTCTGGATTTTCAAAATCTTTATAAACATTTTTCATCATTATATCACGTAATAGCATATTTATGCATTGGCAGCATTTGAAACTTCAGTTGATTTTATTTTCATCGTTGTTAATAATGCGATATGGACTACTTTTATCTATAAAAAATATATTTATTTAATTAAAATTATTTGTATTATCCATTGAATTGTAAAACAATAAAATGCATTCTATTTTAAATTATATATTAAAATCTATTTAATATGTTCGTCTGTCTCTATAGATTTTTCATAATTAAAATAATTTTTGCTACTCAAAAATAAATTTATAAGCTTTCTAGTAATTTGCATTTCGTAACCGAGAGGTTTGCCCTAAAATGAGAACAAAGGAAACCAATTGATAGAGAATTTCAAGTTTTGTCAGTTTCTACAAAACGTTTTTGTTTTCGATGCTGACCTTTATCTTCAAAACCTCATCAATTTTCGGGTGTGGATAGATGTGAGTCAAGAGGGAAAAACCGAGACTTCAAGTACTTTAATCGTGCTTTAGAAATACTTGAAGTCTTGTTTTTCCCTCCTTTTCTACCTCTCATAGCCCAGACCCTATACTCACACACCCATGCTTGCACTCACACCTACTCTCAGCTCATACCCACTATACCCGCATGGATATTCCTTCCATTTCTGACTGCTTCTGGACACTCTTGAGTTTAATGACAAAAACGAAGGGATTTTGTTTAAATCGAATAGGACTTGTTGACAAGTCAATTTTTTTGTTTCTGTCGATCAATAGCTATGAGAATTCGATTCACTTTAATAGTTCTTTTTTATAGATGGTGATTTATATAGACAAAAGAATAATTGCTTCACATCGATATACATATACAATTTCTCATCGTCAATGTGAAACCTCTCAAAATCTTGCTTTGTAATATCTTCGTTGTTGAAGAGCCAAATGGTAACGAAAAAAGTCACTTTTTCACACTTAGTTGGTTTTTTCCCACAAACGTATATTTACTTGAATCAATGAAACATAACTTTTTTCATCACTTAGACGGTTTTCTTTGAAAGTGATGATCATACAAAAATTGTCGAAAGCTTCTAGATAAATAAATGAAAAATTTCATATTGTTTTATTTGATCTTTCAATTTATCAATAACTCTGCTGACAACTCAAACTTAATTAACTGCATCCGAATAACATATGGCTAATGTGCTTCATGGGCCCCCCCCCTCCCCTCAGAAAAGTCAATTTTGGTCAAATTTATCGATTTTGTGATTTATAACTCATTAGATAGAGCTAAATGTCTACTCTCGAATGCACTATAGTTGATTGATTTTGTCATGAGATTTAAGGATATTACATAGGTTTTTCCGAACCCCCATATTGAAAAAAATAAGGTTTTTAAAAACTTATTTTTCGTTTTTCTCAAAATCAGGTTTTTTGTCATGCAGTTTACGCGGACAGGTTTTCTCCATAACGATTCGACATGGAAGTGATAATTTTTTTTTATTATATAGGAGACATGTAAGGCTAGGTCTTAACAGGCTCCGATTTTTAAATTTCTCTTTTGCTAAAGTAAAAAAACTTAGATAGTTCATTTCTATTAGCACCTCGAATTTGAATATTTTTCGAAAAACATTCTTTAAAAATCAAATAAAGGGAAATTCAAAAATCGGATCCTGTTAAGT